CGTTAAGCGTGCGCTGTGGGTGTTCATTTCCTACACTCATTCCCAATTCACAGATCGTTACAATCCTCAATAAAGACACCAATCCTTCATGAACAAATAGACATTTAACTAGCATCTTTCGAACCTCTACCTCCATCAGGAAAAACCCAGACCTCGTATACCACTCCATACATTCACCCCGAAGAAAGAAGCCCGAGTCGAGGAGACAACGGTTACCTCTTTACGACCAACGTCCCACGGCTCGCGGACCTCCAAATCTCTTAAAAACACCATTAGAGTCAATCCTAACAACTTTCATAAACTAACGCACCATTAGCCGAAATTAATTAAACCTTTGCCTTTCCTTGACAGACCTCTACCTTATCCCTATTTCCATGCATACCCTCAGGAACAAGGGACCCGAATCGAAGGGACGATGGTTTGCTCTTTATAACCAGCGTCCCACGATTCGCGGACACCTTGACCTCCGAAACTGACCCCCCGAGTCAACCCCCATAAAAGGATTAGAATTTCCCAAACCTAAAAACAAATTAACAATTTGTTTAAACTTCCACTTCCACCTACCAGTTCCGAACCTCATGCACATCCCTCCAACGAACACGCCACCAATAGGAGAAAAAACACACCCACCACTTAGACATCTCGACAGCCAATGACAGCAACGGACGAACATATAAAATACACGACACCAAGAAGACAGGAGAGTACAAACATCAAAACGACACGAACGACACCACGATAATACGCATATCGCTAACTAGCGCCAACACTTATGTGGGAATGGAATAAGTGTGGCTCTGGGAAATTTCGAGTGTGTCTGGACTTAGAATGAGAGTGGCCATGTGCGTAAGGATCGACTGGGGCAGGACCCCACAAACTGAATACAGTTATTTCCCTGTGCGTTTGGATATTTCCTCCACGAAATTCCCAACAATTGACACTGCAGTACTGAGTACAGTCGTCTACACAGTACTATAGCCATTGGATTAATGTATCCACTGATCGTGTAAATTCGATAGCAATTCTAGAATGATCAATATGTGAGAAAACACGAATATTTATTCAACTGTAAGTCGGTAACGTCCTGTGCTTGGTTATCGACGAATCATGTATGAAAGTATAAGTGTCTGCGTGTGTGTGAGGATGATCGTGAACGTGCGGTGTGAGTTGTTATGAATTTAGTTCTGAATAACATCTAATGTGAGAAACATCGCGTGTACTAATATAAGTAAAGTAGATATATAGTAAAACTTTTATGGTTTGTAAGTAAAACCCACATAAAATCCTATCATAATACATAGATCAATTAACGCCAGAGATATTAACAATTGACATATTAACATAGTTATAACGTCGCAATTAACACGTCAAACGTGGTTTTATCCACTTGCGGTGGAAAAACGTGCCACGCACGTCGAGATGCTTTCGTCACAGAATCGCCAACGACGTGGTATACACGTGGTTAGATAATTGTTGCAGAAAGAAAAATGACGTGCGTGGCACGTCAACTGTTAATGAAATATCACACTCTGCAAGATTATTAATAAATGAATTTAGTATTCATACATATGTAATTTTATCATCAGTTGATGTGCAACTTATCTATTACAGATAATATTTCAATATTGCATGTATGGCATAATAGAAAATTCATCGTGACACTAATCCCTGTAAACCTGGCGTGGCATTCGACGTGTTAAGTTGATCAAATACCCTCAAGTTTGATGACGGATTTAAATACCGAATAATCACGAGCAAGGAGTTTCAGACGTCGCTCGTCAGACTACCAAAGGAATACACAGCACGCAACGAGTAGAGTATTATCGGTGACTAATGCTCGTATTTCCTGCCATCTGAGAAGCTCTCAATAATGCATCCCCAAGTTTCGTACAGACGGCCACGAGTATGCACGGGCTTCTTTAATAACTGATGAGGCGTAACGATATCAAAACAGAGAGACACGAAAACCACCGCCTCGAGAGACTCATTCTTCTTGCCCTCGCAATCGTGAATGAAGGAAGAGGTCTTCCAGGTAGAATATTCGGGATAACCACAGCAATAACCGTTTCGACCCTCTACAGAGAGTGAGATTGAAGCTTCTTTTATTCTTCAGCGCACACGGACCCGAGAGTTCGTGCCAGCCCAGGAATTTAATGAAATTTTTCCTCCAGCCTAGGACTTATTTTTTCTCCAAGTGTTATTATATGCGTCAATTGAAAACGACATAACGTAGTTCCCAAACGAGCCTACGAGATTAAGGTGTAACTATAAATAAGAAAATTCGAATAAATCTTCGGGACGCGTGAAAAGTCTGGTGAAAAATATTTTTATTAACCTATTAACGGTAATATATTATTCCTTGAAATTAAATACGAGAATTTTACAATATTCTTTACAAACGATAATAAAGAATTTAATATTTTCAATCATTCGTATTGCAATTTCCAATCCTAATTTTAACCCATTGCACTTGATGATTTTTTCGTTACAGGAAAATAGAAATTCGAGAATTTCTACAATAAGGTTGACGATAATTTTAAAACAGTAAATAAAAAATCGTATACAAATGAACAATTATAATAATATATTAATTAATAATTATTTTACTTCGATATTCCACGCGTCGTTGGAGTGCAAAGGATTAATTTCCGAAATCAGAATTCTTAGGAAGTCTCAAAATGTATGTATATATTTCAGAATTTTCTGCATCCCAATTTTATTTTCTTATGAAACTCAAATCGACAGAATTTTTCATCATCGATAAACTTCTTTTATATACTTCTTCATTTAATATCAGTAAAATCCTCGTATTAAAATTAACTTGTATCAATGATACAGCATAATTTACAAAATATTATATAAACTGAATTCGTATTTAACATCCGTGAGAAGCTTCTCCGTGGTTAGAATCAACAGAAGATGAAAGAAACTCGAGCCGCAGGAACACCCAGCCCGAGCGTCTGACTATAATCGCACTCGAATCACTTGCAGGCACGGCAGCCCGTGAAAGCGGTTTAATAAGCCCTGTAACCATAAAAGCGAATTATCGTAAATTCGGACTGAACGATCGTCGTAAAGAAGTGCCTATATTATCGGAAACCAAATACGCTTCTTTATCCCCCGGTTTCTCGAGGAGGGAAACATTTACGTAAGAACAGGAGGGTCGGACGAGCTCGTTAGAAATCATTCGCGACAGTCGAGTGGTATCGCAGAACCAGGCATAAAAATACGCTTGACGGTCTTAAGATATACGCGAGGCATCGCGAGTACCCCCCACTCCAACCCACCCGGCGAACGATCACTGGACGTGTGTCGCCATCTAGCGACGCAAGACGAACTACTTAGAACGCATCGTCAGTAACCATCGGTTTACAGAGTCGTCTCACAGAACGAGAGAAACGAGCGCAGAATTTTTCCTGAAAGCTGGAGAAAATAAATAACATCCCCTAAAGAAGGGTAGTCGAGAGGTAAAGAGGAACTGTTGCCTGGAAATATATCAAACCGTTCCTTCGGGTGCTCGTCTCACCGTGTCAGAGTATGTTTTATGTGGTCCGTCGGCTCACTGAAACAATAATTCAGCTCGATTTCACGTTTCGCCCGGGCGTCCGAGGTACCGTTATTTTTTGCTACAGTCGAGTTCGTTCACGTTTTCTACAAGAAATTCCTAGTATTTGTTGGTACAGGCGATTCGCATGGCTGTGATATATGGTTGTGCAGTGCGGAAAACAGTAGATTTACGAAGTATTATAATATATGTACGCGCGGTAGAAAACATATATAGGTTATAATAGCGATTCGAGTCCAGAAAACTTTTACGTGTATGGTAACAAAATGCACGCGTTCTGCCGTAATGATATATTCCATATAGAACGATACATAAAGAAATACGAGTGTCCCCAGAATACAGGCGAGTCTCCCATTATTTTTCCAATAACCGACCATTTTATTTACCTCATCTCAATTAAAAAAATCAGATATCTCGAACCCCTTATGAAATTTAATAAAAAATTTTCCGCGTTATTACCGAGTCGAGACGTAAACCTCGTCCAGCCGACATATATTATACAATTATCCATATCGATTTCGAACCTCCGTTATCGCGGATAACCCAATATTCCCCCACCACCGAAAGAACACTCGAGCCACTGGATCTTCCAATAAGGCTTACAGATCCGCGAATATTCATCGTTTTATCCACCATTATTCTCGGTAATCATCGTTTCGCGTTTCGCCTTTCATCGGAGGGCAATTGAAGTTGAATTTTTACGGAATCTTCTCGCTGCCCCTACTCACCCAACCACCCCCCCCCCCCCCC